GCACTGTTTTTGTGCGTTTCGTATTGGGACCAAAATGCATGCCGGTAATGGTGCTGCTGCTGTTGTCTGCTGTCATTGTTGTGGTGCTTTGGTGTTGGTACTGCCATAGTTATTCCTTTTTAACTAACCAAGTAACTTCGAAATTTGGAGATAACATTTTACTTCACTAATCGGGCGGAACGGCCGGGTACGAGAATTTTTGTTTCATTAAATTTCTGTTGAATTCTTCCAGAACAGATTGCATCGTTGTGGTTATAGTATACTGTTCTGGTGAGTACTCTCAAATAGCATGTACAGTGTTTTGCAGGATATACTGATGGATCATGCGTTGAGGACGATATCCTATATCGCAGACATTGGCGATCTGGTGGTTTTGATGGCTCGCCGCATGTCGCAATCCACGAACGACGATGAAACCATTGCTGAGAGGTAGTTGTTTTTAAATGGAAGATAAAAATGTTGCCAATAAATGAAGGCGCATGCGAAAGGACCAGAGTGCGCTTGCATTTCTGTAAAGTAAAATTGTGGCGGGGTTCTAGTGAATAAATGTACCAATTCATGTTAGACGGCAATGTTTGCTTCATGCAGTTCGTGGAAAAAAAAAACTGTAGATGCACCACTTCTGTTAGAATTTCATTACGTAGTTATAAATTTATTTCATAATAATTTATTTCTTACAAGTCGGTGTATAGATTCTGTCTTAAGGATTTTATTGGGGTACTTCAACAAGCCAAGCATCCCTTGCTTCACTGCTCTCCCCGTCACAGCCAACGTCCACTCTTCTGCTTTCGTCAATGATATGCAATCTGACAGTGGATTACTTTCTACCCTTTTTTTTCGACTTGTTAATTTCGCCCCCACTTTTTTCGTGCTTTAACTCCTGTAGCATTTCATTCTTTTCATGAACGCCAAAAGCAGTGAGAAACGGTGTCATCGAAGTGTAAGGAATTTAGTTATTCGAAATTTCCTTCCAAATCAAAGTGTCGTTATATGACAAGTCTTGAAGAACTTGGAAGGTATGGGATCTTCGTACCTTACACCTCTTTTCATCGGTAT